AAATTATGAATGATTCTATACCACGTATCATATGTTTTCCGTCAAGAATCTGTTCAAGGGTGGTGGGACCGTAAACACCTGCTTCTATCAATATCTGATCAAGTGCACTTCCAATAATGTGTTTTTCAATAACTTGTAAAAATACAATTTTCCAAGTCGAAAAATGAACTTTTCTTTGATCTCGTTTTTTTGTTGTAGCTGCATGCATTTTGATTAGAATTGAAGATCAAGGTTCACAATTGTTTTTTTACTCCCTGTGACGACTACGTAAATTCCCTGAACAAGGTTTAATGCAGTGAAAACGTTGCTCCAATAAGTCGGTGTACCTGCAAGTATCGGTAGACCCTGAGTTACCGTAGATAGTACCGTAGGAGCATCCGAAAAAAAGGAGTTAAAAGCACTCCATGTTGGTAATTTAAATTCCTTTTCAATCACATTACAAAAAGCCCAAATCTTAAAAGGTTTTATTGGGTGGATTTGGTATAGCACAACTCTGCGTTATAAAGATAGTTGCAAGTACAAATATAAGATACTTTGTACGCTGTATATTGAGCATCTTTCTATTAGCATTTGAATAACTTTGAAATCCAACACATGTAGTTCCATAAAATTTAGATTTTCCGTCAGCAGTGTCGTTCTTAAAGTCAATATTATCAATAGCAAAGTGCAACGGCATTCCTATTTGAATATTAGGAGGTACCAATGCGCATTGATTCGTTGATATGTTTCCAATAACAGTTTTTTTTGCTACCTCGAAAACTGTTGTGTAATCATCCGGATTATTTTTAAAGTAATCTACTGCATTTGCTTGATATTTGCTAGAGCAAAACTTTCGGACCTCTACGGCACGGAGGTCTTGAAAAAATTGTTCCTGGCACGTTATCGTGTAGAAGTTTCTTTAAGTAATGTTTGTAATTCACCTCAGTATTGTCATAATTCCCAATTAAGTTATTGTAAGTTTTATTGATATTGATCATATCCATAGCAAAACCATCTTCTTTTAAGTTCAAATGGACTAAACCAATGGTTTCTAGATCTGCGATAATCCGTTCAATATCATCCAATTCTTGAATTTCTTCTTAAGTTTTAGTCAATTTAACAGATCTCTGCGATGTTACCCAACACTTAAAGTGGTATTTAACATAATTTGCAACGGCGTCATCAGAATTTGGGGTAGTGTTCATTCTATGGAAGAATTCTTGATCATTAAGTGACTTGGAAACTTTTAACATTTTGTTCCCAGTCTCTTTAAACTCAACATTTTGAAGTTCACCGCCATCACATTGGCAAATTATACAAAGTTCTTTGTTGTAGACTTGAGATTTTGAACGGAGGAACTTTCCTTTATCTTTTGACATTTTACTTGAATCTTCTGATTCATCTATGTCTTATACGGGTTTAGTTTCAGGATTGCTTGCAATAAATATACTGTGTTGTTCAAGCAAACGTCGCAAACTTTTTGGTGGGTGAATTTTTTGTAACATTCTAAGTTATAAACACCATTTTCATCTGGTTCCTCGCGAAGTATTTTCTCTTAACTTTTGGTTACAACCTATTGCCTCTGGGTCATGATAGGAGTACCTTTGCCTTAAACATACCATTAGTTTTTCCAATGCTTCACGCAAACTGGTTTTTACAATCTGAAAAAAAATTTAGTAATTGCTAGGAGACACTTATAAAAACTACTTAAAGAACATATCCGAAATACACCAAATCGTATTTTTAAACGATAAGAGATGTAAAAATACGTAGATTTATATTTTTACGTACATATATAAAAAAATATCTAAATCAAATAAAAATAAATACTTTTTTTTACGATCATCCTCCTGGCAAACAATGCATTTAGCAAAGTCAAAAAGAAGTTTTCTTTTTTTGTCCTCCATTTGTTAATAATATTTAATATGTGAAACAGCAATAACACAGTATAGAAACATTTTTAAAAGCTAAAAACAGAAACAAATCATTCTAATTGTTGTATATGGGTAAAATTATGTAAAAATAAAACAATATTATCGAAACATTCGAAATAATACAATCGTCAAGCATGAAATATTCTATTTCATCAAAACAGGTACAATGTTGTAAAAATCCGGAGGTGAAAAAAAAAAAGATTTTTGTCTAAAATTTGTTTTATAAATTTTATAATAACTATTGTTTCCTAAATTATAATAAAAAGCAAATTTCAAAAAACATAAAAAAATGGCAACAAACCACTGCTTTGTGATTTTTAAAAATTATTAAAAATCACAAAGCAGTGGTTTGATATAAACATATTTAACCCTGTATCTTTTTTAAGTAAAAACTTTCAACACATGTTTTTTATATTATTTTGAATTTAAAAAAAATTTAATTTGTAAAAAAAAAAATTGTTGCTATGGGGATTAGTTACGTCATACCACCTGTCACGCAAAATGAAAATCGAGTGACACCTGTCATTTTTCAAATCCTTATCATACAAAGTAACACGTATATGCACACTAAGGTACATAGTGGCCTGCACTAAAATGTCGAAAAAAATTTGAGAAAAAATCTTGGAATATAATAAAAGAATTAATTGGAAAATCAAATAAATGTTCAAACTCCCTAGCAAACACTATTAACTTTGAAAACAAAATTATTTCCGAACCTAGTGAAATTGCAATAAATTCTTCGCAGAAATCGGAAAAAAACTTTCAAATAGAATTCCAACTACTGATAACTCATTTATAGACTTTTTATCCACTAGACACAATCTAAATACTAACAATGAATTATCGATTGAACTAACTCCCGAGGAGTTTTTGAATCTCTTAAAAGAAAAGCGACTGGCTACGACAAAATAATTAGTAGCATATATATAGATTGCTACGAAAACCTAAGAGACATACTTTTAAAATTTTTTAAAGCATCTTTAAAACAAGGGATTTTTCCGGACAAATTGAAAATTGCAAAGGTTATTCCAATCTGCAAAAATAATGACAAAACAGATGTATGCAACTACCACCCATTTTTTTATTTTTTTATTTATTATTTAGGTGCCCCAAGAAGTCCTAACGGTCTTGTCACAGAGCACCACGAAAGTGCATTTATCCAGGAAGTTCACGCCTCCTTCCTTCCGTGACGCGAAATATGTCTAAAGCTCGTTTCGAACCTGGATCTCCTGCGTATAAAGCAAGCATTCTAACCACTGCGCCACGACCGCAGCAGCATTTCGAAAAATTTTAGATAAAATGATTTAAAATAGAACATATAAATATCTTAATAATAATAAACTGTTAAATAATAATCGATTTGGTTTTAACAAATGGATTTCAACGGAACACGCAATTATTCAATTTGTCCGGCAAATCTCTGAGTCTTTTGATAGAATTCAATACACATTAGATGTATTTATTGATCTATCAAAAGCATTTGATACCGTCGATCATGAAATTTTACTGAAAAAAATCAAATATTATGGGATAAAAACAATCTTTTAAATTGGTATAAAAGTTATTTAACAAATAGAAAACAATTTGTCCCCGTCAATAACAGACACAAAAACAAAATGACTCAAATAACTTGTGGTGTTCCTTAAGGCTCAATTCTTGGGCCTCTTCTTTTTTTTATTTATGTAATGATATAAATAAAATATCAAACTTAAAAAACATCATGTTTGCTGATGGTTCAAATTTAGTTGTATCAAACCGTAGGATTACAAAACTGTTCTACGAAATCAATAAAGAACTTAAGCTTATCTCTAACTGGTTTAAATGTAATTAATTAACTTTAAACATAGACAAAACAAAGTTTATTCTGTTTCACTCATTATCGAAAAAACAATTTTTGCCAAACCTTATGCCAAAACTTTTTATTGATAAAATTGAAATAAAAAGAGCAACCGCCACAAGGTTTTTAGGAATAATTCTTGATGAAAATGTTATATAAAAAACTCATATTGACTTCATTAGCAATAAAGTTGCTTAAACTATTGGCATTCTATTTAAGATCAGATATTTTTTAGATAAAAAGAGTTTAATGCAACTCTACTACTCCTTTATACATAGTTATACTAACTACCCCAATATTGCTAGCATATTAGGATTTTTGCTTCCCCAAGCATTCCCCAACGCTATGCGTTTAATATATTTTAAAAATCATTTAACGCATTCAAACTTTTTATTCAAAGATGCGAATGTCCTTAATGCATATCAACTCAACATTTAAAAAATTTTGTGTTTTTGTTTTAATGTAAAGTTTAAATGTAAAGATGACTCAGCACTATCTATTTTTAAAGATTTTTTTATTAAAAAAATAAACAAGTATATTTTACGAAATGATAATTTTTTTAATGAACCACTTTGTCGTACAAAGTTTAATCAGTTTTGTATTGGATATCCTGCACCTTATCTCTGGAACAAAATTGTTTTCAATAATTTTGATTTATCAACTTCATTTGAACTTTTTGAAAATAAACTAAAAAAAATATTTTTTTTATAAACGATATAATGAATTAATTCTAATATGCAATAACGCACTGTTTAATATTTAACTTTTTATTTATTTTTGCTGTTGTTGTTGCTTTTACGCTTTTAAAAGGTTCTAACGACAAGATCAATGAGATCTTCTGTCAGAAACCTTGTTTATATTTGTAAAGCTTTTATTTATAAAGTTATTTATATTACTATTATATAATCGTAAACTGTAATACAATTTATATAATTGTATACTGTAACACGATATAAATAAAAAATAAAAAAATAAATAAATGATTTACAATTTATAAAAATGCATAATTCCCAAAAGTCGCAATTTAAATCCGTGCCCGGAGCACTAAATTCCGCTGCCTCTAATAACAGGTTTTGGTGTGTGTGTGTGTGTGTGTGTGTGTGTGTGTGTGTGTGTGTGTGTGTGTGTGTGTGTGTGTCGAATTTATATCATTTATATATAGCATTGATTTAAATCGAAAACGAAAGTTTGATTTTTCCAAGAATGATTAGAAGATTTAAAACACGCATGCGTATTCCACGTTTACTTTTCGTATATATACAAACATGGCAGTCATAAAGTCATGCCATTTACATAATTTTTTTTCGTAAAATGTTTGATAGATTTGACGGTAAAAGCACATCTTACCTAGTCATCGCTGTTTAAGCATTAACCAAATTTATATTTCATAATAAGAATAGGATTTTATTGTTGCATTTAAATAATCGAAAAATGGCTCTTTTAACCATGATTGCTAGAACTGTTGATGGTCTGCTGTTAGCTGCATCTTTACCTTCAGACGAGCAGGTTAATCTTTGTTTTATTAGCTATTAAAAATAATTAGCTAAATGAGTGTAACTAACTTTGATAAAGTTTAGTATTCTACTTTGTTAAGGTTGTCAAATGTATGAAATTCGTAACTTTAATAAGGTTTGTTTTTTTATGATGTAAATTTTTTTACATCATTATTACTATCAACTATTTTTAGTCATTATTATTTTTGAAATTAATATATATTTAAAGTACTTAGAAATAATACAAAATTGTAACAGTTTTTAGTGAATCCCAATTAAAATTATTAAAACAGTGATAAAAGCTACCCGAGCTTTTATTATAATAATTATTTTAAAAAGCTTTCGTCTGTTATATAATTTATCTTATCAAAACTGGAAATAGCATATATTAGATAAAATATTATTGTCTTAAAAATTTTACTCAAAAAACAATATGTTATTATTGTTACCAAATTTTGTTTATAAAATTTAAGTGTGAGAATGAAAATATAGACATATATTATTTGTTCATTATATTTGTTTATATTTTTTTTATTTTTTTTATTTAAGGAATCATTTTTTATTTTTTATTATACAATTAAAATTACACAATTAAAAAGTTTCGTTTCAAACAAGTTTCATTTTTAAAAATGAAGGAATTTGTATATTTTTTTAGTTATATGAATAAATAATTAAAAAAAAATTTTCATTTATGCAAGTATTTAATAAGTAATAACTGAGCATAAAAGAAAAAAAGAATAAATGGTTAAAAGAGAAAAATATCAATTATGATCTTTTTCATTAGAATTTCTGAAATAAGATTTGGTTTACCTGAGATCTAAAGGTAAAATTTTTTATGAAGGGATTTTTTGTACAAACCATGCACAGAAAATTTAAACATAAGATTTAAACATGAAGGGTCTAAATCTTATGTTTAAATTGAAAATATGTAAAGAAAATTTCCAGTTTTTGTTAAATAGTTGACTATAGAGGAAGTTGTATTAAACCCTGCAGTGGTTGGCTTCCCAGCAATTGCCTTAGCAGAAAGTAGTCTATTAGAATTTGTTTGAAAAAGGTATTAATGAATAAATATGTTAACATAGGATTTAACTAAAAAAAATATATTTTGTGTCAAGGTTTTTATTTCATTGAACTTAATATATATTGTTTATATACAAATTTACATTTATCAAAAATATTTTGTATCTGGAGATGGCTCTTTTAACTGGATCACTTTCTTCCCTAATAATTGTGAGTTTAATTGAATTTAAATTTTCAAATCTCATTTTATTTATTAATAGCCACATAGCTAGTGGGATTGAAGCAATTGTAATGAATAAATTTCTGCAACTCTATGGTATTCACCATCAGTTAAGTTATATCCAAAATTTTAGTGATTATGATTAGCATGAAATATAATTGTATTTATTAATAAGTTTTATTAGTTAAAAATATATATTTTTTATAATAAAAATACATGCATTTTCAAGGAAATTGAAAATTTAAAAGATTTTTTAATATCTCTAAATATGCATATAAAAAATATGTAGCAAATAATGCTGCTGCAACCAATTAAAGTTAGGATAGAAATGCACGGCAGAAGTAATTTTCTGTTTTGATGATGCAGATGATGCAAAAGGTCAAAGTTTAACAAAAGGTATAGAAAAAATAACAAAATGCAAGAAATAAAATTAAAAAAAATATTGTCTTTAAAAACTATAAACTTTTGATTCCTCTTTTTTTTTTAATTTCCAATTCCTGTTCACTTCCAACAAGGTTGTAGGCAACCACTATTGAGTTGCTGGAAAGCAAAGAATAGTTTTAAAGAGTGAGGAAATGGTTGACAGAAGAGTTTTGATAAAAAGTTGATGGTTATTTGAGTCAGGAAAACATGATGATTGGAGAAAGCTCTAAAGTATTGAAGTGCATGGTAAAAAAACTAGATAAATAAAAGTTTTTAGGGCAGGGATAGATGTTAACTGTGCTAACTGTTGTTTGTATTTGTATAATATTTTAGTCTAATTAGTTCAGACCATTCTGAGAGGTAAAATAAAACTAGATAGATTTCCCAGATAGCATATATACACCCGGCCTATGTCTGCGCAATGCTTTTTTTTTTTTTTTTTTTTTTACACTTTAAATAAAAAATCATAAAATATTAAAAACTGTTATGACCTTGTAATTATTTCACTATCTGTCAAAGTATATTGATAAACCCTTTATAAGTTATAAAGTAGATTTAATATTAAAACCAGGGTGTTGTTCTCTTTCATCTCAAAGGAGGTGGACAAGAACAACAAGAAATAACGAAATTTAAAAAGTATTTAATTTTAGAATTTTATTTTTTTAATATATAAAAATTAGCAATCGCAATTTCTTTCAAATAATATTAGGATTGCAAACTCCCATCTGATTGTCGTAGTTGCTTAATTCAACCTATGGCGTAGTTTCTTTAATTTATTATAATCATTAAAATCAATTTTTGTGACCTGATAAAAAATATTTTTTGCAATTATTTTTGAGACTGTTGTTACATGTTTGCATATTGCTAAACAAAATACTAATATACTAGTACTCAAAGCTTAACATTTCATATCAGATAAATGAAGAATTTAACATGGGAAAACATTAAGTGAATAAAAAATTGTAGATCATTCCAAGAATATAGTGAAATAATTTGATCATTCAAAGAATATAGTAAAAAAAATTTTTTCCAAAAGGCCCTTTTAAGATAAAAAGCTTAAAGCCCATGTATGATTCCTACATTTTTTTTTTTTTTTATTTTAATTCACCTCCTCAAGGCCGAGAAGGCCACTACAGACGAGGAGGCTACTTATTTGTGGTTATAACCCTCTCACAACTCTATAACTCCGAAACACGAACCTTGACGAGCAAGGCCGCTGCGCGGAGAAACGAGTTGAGCGCGGTACTACCAAGGACGTGGTGGGGATCGAACTCGGAACCACTTGTTTATGAAGCGAGCGCTCTACCACTACACCACTACCACATAACCCCTGGGGCCAGCACGCCACTAATCATCTATACATAGTTTCACTTTAAACTTTTACTTTTTTTTTTTTTTTTTTTTTCGTTGAAGATTTAGATTTAATAAACTTTAACTTAAAAAAATAAAAGAAAGTTGATTTTAAGAAATATTATGACCAATGTGTTATGTTATGTTTCTGTCTTCATATTTCATTTACAGGCCAAAATAGTTATTCTGTTTCCATCTTTTAAACCACTTCTTCTTGTGATATAAACTGTTATTTAATGGTATTAATACTTCTCTTATCATTAACTTTTAGATCAAACATTTTGTTTTCAAAATTGTGATATTTATACAAATTACCATAGTGATTAGATAAACAGATTTAATTATTAAGAGATTATAAGATGCAGAACACTCACCAACTGCAGTAAATTTTCACATCTTAAAAAGTTTAATGCTTAGATGCAGCCTTATATTTCACTAAATTTTTTAACTAAATTTTTTTTTTTGTGTCATTGAGTTTGTCAAATTTTGTAACTGCAAATATTTTTTTTATTTGTAATATTTCTTAACTGCTGAAACCACTACAATGTTATAAATTGTATTATAATCTGATAATATTAATATGCTAATTTAATATTATTAGTCGAATTACGCCATTTTCTAGGCTTTTCTATTTTAAAGTAGTTTCTAGGCTTTTCTACACGCGTTTTTTTTTTAATTTTATTTATTAACAACGCGTATTACGAGTTGCTTACTGCTAGTATAATATATTATATTATTACAATTTATAACAATTAAAATCTGTATATTTTTAATGCACAATTTTTATATAAAATAGTGAAATTGAGTTTTTATTTTATTTTAAATGTTTATTAAAAAGTGTTGATATTATATACTAAGAACTAAAGACCTACCCTGTCTGATCATGAATTTCCAATTACATTACTAACTACTTTAGACTGTTTGAATTTTTTAGTTGTGTAACATGTTAGTAAATCAAGTTGAAAATAAAATAAAGTTTTTATCTAAATATAGTTAAACATTTTTTGATTTTTAAAAACAAAGGAAATTTTTTAAGTTAACTTTAAAAATTGTTCAAGCGAAATATAAAAAACCTTATTGCTTGCTTACAACATTTCTTATGTTGGGCCAACATCACAAATATGTTGGCCAGATGTCAGTCCCAGGTGTGCTTCAGTTATATTTTAACTGATTGAAAATTTGATCCAAAAATTGTTTGAAAATTTTGGTTCTGTTTTCTAGGTGGACCTAAGACCCTTGAAAAAGAATAAATTAATTTGGTACCAATCTTTTTTTGCATGTTCATCTGGTTTTTTGACTTACTAATTTTTACTAGTTTTACTAATTAAACTCAATAAGGAAATATTGCATGAAATATTGCATGTCTCAATTAAAAATTTTAAAAAGTGGAAACATCTTATGTTGCAATGAATAAAATTTCAAATGCTCTTGTTATCAAAAATAAAGTCATTAAGTCCTTTAGCTAATTTGTTTAATTAAATTTAATTATTTTAATCTTAAGTTAATTAGTTGCTTAAATAATGGAAGATTTTGATGAATAGATTTAGTTGAAAAAGATCAAGGTGTCATTTTTATAAATAAAGCTTTTATTTGATCCAAAAGATATTTTAAATTTAGAAAACGTCATGGATAAAATATGTATTGATTTTACAGATTTAAAAAAAATAGGAAAAAGTTTTCTTTCTTTGAAAGAAATCTCATAAAGAAAAGTTTTTCAAAAGCAGGGATGAGGAGTCCCAAAAAGGACTCTGGATTTAAAAGTCACAAAAAAATTACTTCTTCATAGTTTTTGGTATCCAAGCGCTCTAAAAATATAAAAAAGTTTATGGACTACTAATAGAAAAAAAATTAAGACTTTTAGGTTAGAGGAACAATCATTTTTTGAACAGTCCTTAGGTATAATGATGGCAAAGACTCCAGTACTCCGGCTTAAAAACAATAAGTTCCAAGTCATTAAATCACATGAATTTTTTTCTTATAGCAGAAAAAAATTCTCATAAGTCAACAAATATATTTAGAGCTTATGGACACTACAGGCCTAGAATAATACACACTACAGGCCTAGAAAAATAGAGATATAAAGCCGGAGTCCTTTTGGGACTTCGCATCCCTGTTCAAAAGTTTTCAAAAGTTATAGTTTAACTTTATGAAAAAAGAAAAAGAAAAAAAAGAAAATTTTAAACAATAACTCAAGTATATCAAGCATCAACCTATAATTGATTTAGTATTTTGAAAATTTTGAATTTTTTTTTCTATATTTGCATGTAAGAAAAGTAGAAAATACTATTTTTATTAAATTTTTATTTTTACATTTTATTATTATTTTTTTTGCATAGATTAAGTTAGCTGTATTTTGAACACATTTAGGAAATATTTTATTATTATTATTTATTATAGTTAAGTTTTTTATTTAAGTTTTTTGAGATGATCACCATAGAGTTTATGATGTAATGTAGTTCTTAAAACAAAAAGCATTATCTTTAAAATTAGTTAACAAACTTATTATTTTATTGATATAGTGTATTCTGTATATATTATTACCAAGATTTAGAAACATGTTACTTCTCAATATTTTAAAAATTTTTATTAAAGAAAATGTTTGATTTGATTTATATCATTTTAATATTGTATTTGACTATTTCAAGGAATAAAAAAACCTGGTATACAGCTTATTGCATGCCATTTAATGTTAAAAAAATCAATGACCTTCAATCTGAACCCCATGCAATACTTTAAAATGACATGTGCTGTGGCATGCTAAAGGGTTGCTTTGCATAATTTTTTTTCTGCTTCATTTTACTTGTTTTTAGAATGATTATTATTTTCAGTTGTGAAATTTGATAAAATCATCAATACAAAACGAATAAAAATATTTGACAAAATTTAAGGCTATATACTAAATATATAACCTCTAAAAGAATATTAAATCTATTAAATTACATTAAACCCTCAAAGATGTGAAATTTTGTTAACAGTTGGTGAGTGAGTCTTCTGCATATTAATGAAACGATATCATTTTAGGTATTAAAAAAATATATAGCTCTGTTAATAAACTAGCAACGATTCAAAGATTTGTTGAAGTCATGGTTTTTTTCTCATTAAATTACATTTTTGAGCATTTTTTTTTACCCATTTTTTAATCTTTTTTCTTAGGATTAAAAATTTTAAGAAAAACATTTAAAGAAGAAAAAAATAATTAAAGAAGGTTCAGAAGAAGATAGTTCAGAAAAAAATAAGTCAAGTAGATTCAGAAGAAGATAGTTCAAACAAAACAAATCAATGATCATTGTAAAAGTTTTTTTAAATGATAAAAACGCGGTGTCAAAGCTGATCTGGCTGATACTGAAATAACAAAGCTTATGAAATAGCAGGGGAAGCGATAGACAATGCTGAAATGATATATGAAGTAGATGATTCTGTAATGATAGATAAAACTAATTTTATGGCAGGTAAATTAGATGCAATGATTAATGATACAGACAAAATGGAAGACAATGCTGAAGAAATAAAATATAATGTTGACAAAGGTCTCCCCATCCAGGCTCTCTAATCTAAATCTTAATCTAGATCTAAATCTAAATTTAAAGTCCTCCTCTAGGAAACAAATCAAGAGGTCACTGTATCTGGCAGAAGTAATCACTTTAATTGTATGCTAATTTAGTCCTAAATTCATTTGAATTTCTTCGAATTTAGCTAATAACAAGAAAAATTCAAATTTTTTTTGCCTTTATTAGCATGCAGACTGTAAGCAGCCATATTGTGTCATTAGGTTCTATGTCTGGTTGAATTAGTAACGATCAAGTTTCTATTACCTGAATAAACAGTTTCAATCTATCTTTTCCATTGATATCTTTATAATCAAACTTTACCTCTATTTGCCAAGTGAAACATCTATATCACTTTTTTTAACACTTTTTATCACTTTAACAGAATAGCAGCTCCACTACCCATGATTTATCAGAAGTCCATGGAACAAGGAATAATACTGAAGGCATGGTTTGTAGCAAATGTGACTCTGTCACCATGTTTACTTCTATAAATTGCTATCACTGCTTGGTGTCCTTATTTAAAAAAAGGTATTTCTGCAATTGAAAGCATTCAACATCATATAAACCACAATAATATGAACCACATAAATGAAGCCTTGTACCACATAAATCATGTCATGTACCACAATAAATGAAGCCTTTTAATTATAAAATGAAATGTGCTAAACATGGTCTCTTTTCTCTAAAGAAAACAATAGGATCTTATTCAGAAGTTTAAATAAGAGAATAAAATTGATTTAGTTAACTGGTATATTAATCCAAATAAAATTCCCTCAGCTATGGGCATCTCATCTGGTATCATAGAGAAATAAATAAAAACTGTCAAGTCAGATATAACTTTTTTAAAAACCGTGTGGCTAACGCATGGAATGCCTTGCCAGACAAAGTCGTAAGTTCAGTCAGCAAGTTTAAGGAAAATTTAGACTATTTAAAATAGTTACTACAGCACATCATATTGTGTGGCTGCTTCAATGCTGCTATACAAACTAGCTTTGCTAGTTAATGATGATCTTACAGTTTATATATTGATCTGTATAACTTAATATACTAACACTAATACTAATAAATGAAAGAAAAATTTTAAACTAGCAATAAAGTTTGGTTGAAACCACTAAACTGTCATACCAAGTTGCAGTCACCTCTAATAACCTAAAGTGTGTACTTGACAAAATACTTGTAGTTTTAAGAACAAAAAATGCCTCTGAAAAATGTATATACAGCATAAGTTAGAAATATTATTAGAAACATTATAAATAATAAAATATTAAAAATAAAATTAGAAATAGTTTCTTGAATATTAATAATAATCTTTATGCATAATAATACAAATTTTTCAGCAATTCTAATTAATTATATTATTATAAAATTTAAATTATTTAATTTAAGTTATTATAATTAATATAGTTGAGTATTTATCCATAAATAAAATTTTTTACGATTAAAAATATTTTTATAGTCTAGTCGAAATATTCAAGAGTATCAAAACCAAGCAAAGAATTTGTTCAAAAGATTAACTGAGCGATCACCTTTACGTTGTAGTATTGAAACTGGACCTTATACATTTCAGTAAGATTTTAAGTTTTTTACACGGGTGGGAAATCGCAAAACAAAATTTAAAGTTTAAAGTTAGTTATTTTTATTCGGACTTCGAATCATTCTGAATCCATTATGAATCTTGTAACTTTATCAAATTTTAAAACATTTTGTCAGAACTACAAAAATAATCTTTGACTTAGAGTTTGTTTTTGGAGCTTTACATTAATGACGATTTTAATAATTCTGGTTTTTTATTAGGAATTTAAGTCATGTTAAATATGATTCAGTTGTTTTTTTCAAAATCACTATCTTGCTATATATATATATATATATATATATATATATATATATATATATATATATATATATATATATATATATATATATATATATATATATTTATATTTATATGCTTTTTTTGGCACTTTAGTAGGGCTTTAGTAAATAGCGTACTGACTTAATAGAGTTATGAACTTTTATCCTATGATCATCCCAGTTAAGGTTTCTATTTATTAGTATCTAAGGTACTTGCAGCAATCAATTGATTTGAGTTTAAAATTTAAGTTTATTATGTTAGCATGATAATTTTAATGTTTGATTAAAACACAAAAATGTGTTTTTCTGAAAGAAACAATATTAAGTACATAAATGATAAACTTTTTTTATTAAAAAAGAATCTTTTTTTTGTGCATATAAATAAGTCCAGCCTTAATTACAACTGTTATTATCTTTAACTCAAGTTAGGTTTACTAATGTATTTCTTAATATATATATAATACTACTCAATAATATATAATAATACTCAAAAACGAAATTGTTGTAATAAGTATTTGAATTGATTTTAAAATACAAGAAAATGATTTTTAAGAAAAACATTTTGATTTTGATTTGCAACTGTTTTTACAAGTTTTTGCATCTTCAACAAAATATTTGCATACATCAAGCCCTATAGAAATGTTATGTTTATTGTTTAGTTATTCAATTAGCAATGGAGCATGCTATTTAGTTCTTGTGGATAGTACTTATTCTAAGCGAAGTGCCTTTGCTTACTTAGAAGATATTCAAGATGAATTTTTTCGACAGTATGGCGGACAAATTCCAACAGCTGTACGACCATACTGTTTCATAGAGTTTGGTAAGTTTATACTGATCATGGTTCTTAATTTTGATTAGGTAAAATTGTGTGTTTTTTATGCTTAATGTCCAGAGTTGGCCTTCGTTGTTTAGCTATGCAAAGTATGTTGACAAAAAAACGCATTTAACACACTTTAGCATATAATCAACAATGTTTTGCTATACTTAAATACATTTATAAATGTTATTGGTATTATTTTAACTGTAGACACGTATATGCAGAAGTCTCGTAAAAATTTTCTCGACTCTCGCAACAGCAGAAATAGAAATTTGACACGTTTAAGTGATGAACTTCAAGGTGTTCAGAAGATCATGATAGAAAATATAGATGAAGTCTTGCAAAGAGGGGAAAACTTATCAGGTAAATGTTTTTTTGTTTAAATGACCCTTTTTTTTTTTTTTTATTCAAAAAATTATTTTATTTAAAATAAAGTTTTTTACTTATGATTTTTAAAATTATTTATTAGTATTGGACGACAGAGCTGGTCAATTGCGATTTCAAAGTGAAAAATATCGAAAAGACGCTAAATACTTAAACTTAAGGACAGTTTACGCTAAATATGCCGCCGTTGGTATTTTCTTCTTTATTTTAGTTGTTTTTGTTCGTTATTGGATCTTGTAATTTCAATTTGTCGCTAATATGTCGGTAGTTTGTCGTTATTGGATCTTGTAGTTTCAATTTATCGGTAGGATGTTGTTGATTTGCTAATAAGAAGTCATTCAATATAGGCAGCATTAGTTAAAATTCCACAACCTCGTCAATTAGAAATTCTAAAAGATGATGCTATAAATCTAGATACTATTATTTTGAAGTTTTATTTGAACTCTGATTTGCTATTGGATGGATTATTATTTTAAAGAAACTTAACAGCAGTTAGTAAAGTTTATAATTAAATATTTTTATTCTTTTTGTGTTGGATTATTTTGCGTTTGAGTAAAAAAGTATTTTTTTATATAATATTTAATTTTACTATGGCAGCGCACAAGCTATCCTTTTGTCGTGTTGGCAAGTGAATTGTGCGAATGAGAAACATCGTTGGATGAATAACTACTAAATCGATGGATCACTATCGAATGAGTTTTTTTTTTTTTTTTTTTTTCCATGACTAAACGTCAGATAAATGGTTTCTCCTTAAATCGAAAGATCAATATTTGCACTATCAATTAGCAAAACATATTGACACAAACTATATAATGCAATTTAAAATTATTTCAAAATTAATAGTGTTGCATTCTGATAAAGTAGATCAGGGGTAAATACGTTTCATACGTTTTAAATTAAAAAACTATTATTTTATACCAGGTTAAAAATTACATTATTTTGATGCCATTTTTTACAAGCCATTTTATAATTAAGATAAATATAATCTCAGGAAGATCATTAGTAACGATATAGAACCAAGGATAAAACCTTGAGGTACTCTCAGTGCCGGTTTAACCAACAAACACACTGGACACGTGCCGGAAAGCCACAGTGTTTAAGGGGCCAGAGCATCTAAGTGAAGTTTTGAAAGATATATAATTTGAAAGAAAAAATATTATCGGCCTCTATCCTTGACTTCCCCTCTCATGTACCAAAAATTTTTAATCTTCGCAATAACAGCGCATACGACATATTGCAAACTAGACGTTTTTTTTTAACGATTTAAAAAAACTTTTAAATTTGAATTCAAATGGAAATTGGTTTGATGAATCCTGATTTAATATTTTTTAAAAGGTTTTTTGTGTATGATATTTTATATAATTACTTGTATTTGTTAGTCAATCGTATGCCATCATAAGACATTTCTGAAGTGTTAGTCGATGTTATTTTTATTTTCAATAAAAATATATAAATACTATTTATTTACGGCTTTTATTTTTCAGTTCGTTGTTTAAAGTGTTTGTTTATTATATAACTTTTTAATTAAATTGCAAAATATAAATAAAAACTTAAATTCACGTTGATTATATTATTATTACGTGGTATTTATCTTAAATGATGTTTAAATGATGGTATAAGGATTAATTGTTTATTTAATTTAATTACTAAATATTGTTATAAATAATTAAGAATAAAATAAATAAAATGAGTGAGCAAAATAGATAAATGTCAAAAAAAGAAAGAGAAAATCTGGAGGAGCTCGTCGCATAGATTAAGAAGAAAATAAAAAGAAAAAAGGAGATAAAATCATTTCCAAATTACCAAAAATGTTAAGCTTTTTCTCTCCTATTCAACCAAAAGATATAAATCATTTTTAATTTTTAAATTACTAGAAGGCAAATAAATCTGAAAAATTCTTAAAATTTAAAAGATCTGGAAAAATATCGCTCTTTATGCAAATCAGTCCCTTCTCCAGTTCTTAATAAAACTCAAAAAAAAAATGTCTATACTCTGCTCCACGAATCACAGGAAGTGCAGACGCAAGAGCGCGTTGCTTTATATAGTTCAAACGGCCCTTGTGATGACCTAATGTTCAAACGACCGTTGTGGTTACCTAATGTTCAAACGACCCTCGTGATGATTACACTGAGCCTAAACAAAATAGTAATTAAAGCAACAATAATTTCAACGATCCTGCTAATCGGAACCGTGACTTGTGTTGATCGACCATATCTTGTCAAATCCGCCCAAAATAAATATAGAAAAATTTGACTTCTTATCCTCAGAGTACTGTGATTTTGATGGCAAATTTCGTCTAGCTCATTTAGACTGGCTCTTTAGAATAAAAAACAAAGAAGGAAGAAAAGTATTACGCAATTGGCTTCAACTTTCAAAAGAAAATGGAAGCATGTAATGTGTACCTTGCTATTTTTTGGAAAATTGAAGAGCAGCTTATCTGAAAAAAGAGGATTCTGGAACTGGCAATATGTCAAAACATCCTTAAGTGAACATGAGCAGACCATAGAGCACTTTCATGTTATTGTCGCGTTTTCATTTTGGAAAAAGCAGTCAAGGGAGGATAAGTTTAGAGTTTACCAAGCAATACCAGACTGAAAAAAAGTATTTGACCCAAGCTCAACGACAAACAATCGAAATTATCAAGCATCTTTCTTCTAGGTTTGTGCGTAATATATCGCGACATTAGAATTATCTTATTCTATCTCCACTTTTTAAAAAAATTGAGTTAATGATAATGTTGTGTTTCTCAAAATAATGTCTTTCTACTGAATTGAAATCTAAGTTATAACTAAAAAAGTTGCGGAAAAAACATTTTTTCCGCAAGTGTTATTGTCAAGTTTTCGTTTTTTAAATCGTTTTATCTCAAAACTAAAAAATGTGGTGATAGAACAAGATAATTCTAACGCCGCGATATAGAAAATTTAAATATATAAATTTAAATTCATAGTTATAAATACTTTAATTGAATCACACTTATTATGTGATAACATTAAATAATTGAATCGCATTTATCACGTAATAATACTGCTTAAATATTTTTCAAAATTGAAAATAATTGGATATTTTATTTATTGTTAATTCTTAGAGGATTATCATTTCGCGAAATAGACAAAATACTAGTATCAATACGCAACGGAAACTTTATTGGATGTATTGAGCTATTAGCAAAGCTTGATCCTTTCCTCGCCTAACACTTGATTACTCATGGAAACCAAGGAAAGGGAAGTACCTAGTACTTATCTAAAGACATTTGCAAAGAACTCATACACTTGATAGCTGTCTAGGTTTTGGATAATATGATCATCTTCAAGTAACTTGTTGTAGTATCCATTTTTTATTTACTTTAAACAATTTCTTAGCAAAATCAAAATTGCAAAATATTTTTCAACCATCGTTAATTCTACTCCCAATAAGTCGCACATCGACCAACTCTGCTTTATTCTGCATTATGTTTTACAAAACGGAGAACCAGTTGACCGGTTTTTAGCATTCATTCTAATGCATAATCAATTTGCAGTTTCCATGCTTGAAATTGTTTTTAAAAAGTTAGATTTAAATGGGATCAACATTCAAAATTGCCGTCATACGACAATGACAGTAATATGTCTGGAATCTTCCTTGGTTTACAAGCAAGAGTTAAAAAGATTAACGTTCTTCCCAAATACATTCCATGTGCTGCTCCATGAAATTCATAAAAGTAAGTGCCGCGGAATCCAACGGAGTTGCTGGTTATTTCTTTAGCTTTCTTCAAGAAATTTATATCTGATGCTTGTTTAGCCATTGGAAAGGGTTATTCTATTTACAAAGTGAATGAGAATTATTTAGAAAAACAAATAAAAATATATTTCATTAGTGATTATACATATTATTAACAAACATTTCTATATAGGCGGGTCTTCTTCATCTTAACGATAGTTATTAAAATAGCTGTCTCAAGTTGTTCCCAAAATGAAACAACTTGAGACAGCTCTTTTAATAATTATTTGAAAACTTTTTTAAATAATTATCTGAAACAGTATCATGGAGAGGTTCAACAAAGTAAACAAGATACTGCAGTCCGTCAAGCTTGGTTTAGCTATAGTTAAAGAACTGCACAACTTCCTGGAGCATTATTTGCAGAAAGTTCACTACAATATCGAACAATATGAATTAGAAGCTGTGTCTTAGTTCATCACAGATGAATATGCCTTCGATCAAAGTATGCGCCAAAGAGCATGCAAGAGGTATTGCGATGAAATTAACAGTGTCTAAATTTCAGTGTTTTCTGGGCAATTTAAAATGATTGTCGACATTAATAAGATCACGGAAAAACTATGAGTGATCTAGATAAAAGAAAGCCTATTTTAGATTGAATTCTCTGTTTGGTTTTCTTGTGAATCTCCGTAGCATGGGTATCATGGATCTCAAATTGTTCTGGAGAATGTTCATTTTCAACATTAAAAAAAAGTGTTCATTGCTCAATTACAAGTATATATACAGCATAAAATACACTTATAATATAAAGAACTCTTTATTAAATATCACTTAAATAATAAAAATCTATATTAATAGCAGGATCATATATTTTCCAATTTTTAAAGTTACATATAATCTATTCACTCATTATTTAATAGGTTAGAAACGTCTTTCAGATCTTTTACTTGTTCAAATAGAAAATCGGGTATTGGATTCCATTGATCTAGCAGATATCGTATCTGCATTTGCAAGCTTAAAACACAGACAAAAGTTGTTTAAAACCTATACTTATCGCAACGTGTTTTTAATAACAAATAACGCGAGATGCTTGTTTAAATACTAAAGAAAATATATTATAAAGCCATAGCACAACAATTACAAGGATTTTTTTATTTTAAAACTCTGTTAAATTTGAATACTAAGAGGCCAACAGGAGCCAGAAGACCTAAAGTGCCGGGAGGTTAAGATATTTGATACGAGACACGACTGACTTGTTAACTGCTCTAACGGAAAGATTCTATTGTGCATGACATAAAAAATTTTCACAGATAAATCTGCGAAGGTTTTTGGGATTATAAAATCATTTCTTTCCAACAATTTTAAATAAAACCATCCTCAAAGGCCAACACTGTACTTTATTTTAAGTAACTTCCGGAGTACCCAGGGTCATATTGCATATGTAAAATTTATAACCCTGGGTACTCCGGGAGTTACTGAAAATGAAGTAGAGTGTTGGCCTTTGAGGATGGTTTTATTTAAAATTGTTGGAAAAAATTGATTTTATAATCCCAAAAACCTTCGCAGATTTATCTGTGAAAATTTTTTATGTCATGCACAATAGAATCTTTCCGTTAGAGCAGTTAACAAGTCAGTCGTGTCTCGTGTCAAATATCGTGTAAGAGCAGTTAACAAGTCAGTCGTGGAACGAAAAAATCGAAATTTGTTGATTAAAGACTCAAAGACCTTGTTATTTGAGCGAGAAGACTTTTTAGACATTAGTCAAATGGTCAAAATGTTCTCTAGGATTTTTAAAAGTTAGAACTACAAATAGAATGAAAGAGAGAATGTTGTCT